TCAAATTTTTTAGAGTCGAGACTTCCCTAACATAAACAGTACCTTCTTTCTGCCTTTTTCCCAAAGTCTCCTGAAGACCCTCATAGGGGCAGTCAGATTCGGGGAGCCCCTACTCACTGGTTTTGGGGGTCCACAGGAAATTCTTGTTTCCCTGCAGTCTCCTTGGATTCTAGGGCTGGCTGTGGCCCTTATGTTGTGTCCACAAGATGAGAAGCAAGTCCTGTTTACAGGAAATTCTAAGGGACTCTAAAGATATTACCTAACTTTAGCCAAGTGATTCCAATCCAAAGGTCATCCAGGACACTTGAGTGGCAGTGATGGATGGAGAGGAACTTCTGTCATGATAGAGGCCCTGAGTTGTGGAACTTGAGGCTGCCAAGAAGTCAGTTCTGTATTGGCTGGGAAAAAGACCCAGGATGGATCAATGGAAGAATGTTCTGTTGGGAAGTCTCCTGGTAGGTTAGCCCACTTAACATATTAACACTCAGAGAGGGGAGGAAACAAGCTTGTGGCCAGGGAATAAGGTAGTACTGTGGTTCCCTAATAGCTCTGTCCATCCTTCTTATTCACCTGCCCAGTATCTAAGTGTCCTAATCATCCTAATCCACTGTGAGAGATGCTGTGAAGAGTCACTAAAGGCATCACCCTGCCTTCTCACTGACACAAGCATCTGTGTTTTGAAGCATCTATTTGATTTTGTTTAATTGCCTCCTCCTCAAGACTATTATTTTTCAGTGTAGAAAATTCCCACAATCCTAAAAATAAAAAGAGGAAAATAAAAGGCCACTGTGATGCCATGGAGTAGTCATTCTACTTTATGGAGCCAACAGAGATGGTTGAATGATTCACATCTTTCCTATCTTGATACCAGTCATGTTTATAGTATGGCTGTGTGACCCACAGGTGACCATTGGGCAGGGGGCAGGTGATGGGTGGATGCACAAGCCAGGATGGCTGTGGGCTGAGAGGGAGAATCCAGCTCCCCTGATTTAAGAGAATGCACCAATGATGCTGAAGAGAATTAGGATTTAAATTTATAAATCACAAATTCCATGTGCCTTAGGGTTGCTGGATCTAAGTCCTCAAAAATGCTTTTTTTTTTTTTTTTTTTTTAACTTTCTTAATTCTTTAAAGAACCAGTTTCTTTGTTGGTTTCATTCTCTGGTAGACTTTGTTGTCAGATAATTGTAACTGAGAAATGTGTGGATGAACACAGACAAGGTATACTGTGGAAACATACCTTCTACATGGGTAGAGAAGTAGTTCATTTCAATCAGTGAGAAGCTAAAGGTTCCTGTGACACAGAATCCTCCTTGTAAGTTGGAAATGTGTGCTTTCTTCGTGCTAGCCCATGTCTCTTCTTGAATCAGTGAGATGGGTCAATGTGAGAGGCACTTGCTTTGTGGATCTAATGACACCTGTTTTCTTTCCAGAACCCAGAGAAATGTGCAATTAGGAAATGACTCCTGATAGATATCCTCAGACCTCAACAGGTACACAGTCACACATGTACCTACCTACACTTACACACCAACATCATACACACACAACACAAAGTAGAAAAAAACAAGAATAAAAGACTTGTTTCTTAGGTTGAATAGATTTGTGGACTATGACCAAAGTTGATGTACAGTCTTCACAGGACGCCCGTGATGGAAACATCTGGACAATAGGATTCATGTTGGTTGAACCCACTCCACTCTGAATTTCAGAACCCCAACTCTATCTCCAAACCCTGTAGCTCTTGCACACAGTTCTTCACAATATGGACTGCAGAAGCACAATTCTCTATAAGTAGACCACTGGCAATGACCACTGTCCTTTATTTGCCACCAGGAGCTGTCCTGCTCCAACTTGTTCTATCTCCTATTGATCTTGAAAGAGGTTCAGACAGGAGGAGGCTTGGTTGAGATGATTAGGCAGGGCCTATGCCACAACTGAACACAGGAGCAGCTGTTCAAACACACAGCCTCCTGAGGGCAGCAGTGAGCAGTGTGCATACCCTCTGAAGGTACTTTCAGACACAGTTGTTTGCCATCTGGCCTTATAGTTACTCATGCTTATTTAGTGAGCCTGTTGTCAGGAGGGTAGTTTGAAATCCTTACTTTCCAGTGCAAGGCAGGTTTAGGAGAAACTCACTGCTTCCAAGGTTACATAAGGTGAGAAACCCATTTCCTGGGTGCTTCCAGTTACATCAGGCTATGGCCAATAGGCAGGGCAGGACTGTCCCTAAGATTACACATCCTATTTCCTGTTTTCCACAGGCTCCATTGTTTGAATTGGTCACCAAGCCCTGGGCCCAAGTGTAGCCGGAACAGCACAGAAATAGGTGGGACCTCAGCCTCGGGAAGTAGGACCACTTCATTGACAGTCTTTGTGTAAGTGTTTGAATTTTCACAACTCTACCAGCAATTCATGTTAAATTATTCTTAAATTCTTGACACTTCTCAAGCCCACGGGGCTAGACCCTTCTACGAATCTCTCATAAATCATTTCCAAACATGGCCAAACTTCCCAGAGCAGCGACCCTCACTTCTGGTACTAATTATCTGCATTAAGTGTTTTTGTTTTTATCACTGTGATAAAAGACTTGACAGAAAGAACTTAAAGCAGAAAGGGTTTGCTTTGATTCAAATTCAGGAGCTATAATTCTGTCATGGTGGGGAGGACATGGCATCTGGAAAGGCATCGTCTGTGGTGGTGCCAGCTTGTAACATGACTGGATCACATCTTCACAAATCAGGTAGCAGTAAGTGGGAGCAGGGAGGCATGCTACTGTGGAGACTGGTGCCCGAAGACCCTCTCCTGCTAGCTGTTCAGTCTCAGTGATCCCACAGTCTCCAACACAGTGTTACCAGGAGCAGGGCTCCACGTTAAATGTGAGTCCATGGAGGGGACTGCAGATTCAAATCATAAAACTGCTGACAGGACACCAAGGACTAGACCAACAGGTACTAGGGTTATAGGGTTATAGGTTTAATCAGACAGAGGCTTCCTAGAGGAGGTGGATTGTCTACAAATTTTGCCCCAAAAGAACTTCCTCATCATTCTCAGCCCATAGAGAAAGTGGTATAATCCACTTGAGAAAGATACAAGAGTCCTTGAATTTTAAATTTTGACTGGAGTGAGCTCATGCCTGGGGTCTCCTGGTGCGGAAGCTCAGGGATAGCATTTTAAGGCAAAGCTACAATTATTACATAAATGGGAGTCAGTGTAATCCTGGCCCTGGCCCTTGCTCACTACGTGATCTGGTTGAATCCCTTTGCCTCTGTGAACCTGAGTTTCTTCTTCATGGTGCCAGGATGTGGTGAGGTATTAGAAGACCTCTTTAGCTGTAGCCTCGCTGATGATGGTGGAATGAGGAAACCTGTGTATCACCAGGATCCCTGACGTCCTCAGGGAAAGTAAGATTCCTGTAGTCTGGATGTGATGTCCAGGGATTAAGTAGCAATGGAGGGCTATGTGAGGCTGGAGAGCATAAGGGATTGAGATGCCCCTCAGGAAGAGACAGGGAGGAAAGGCCACAACCATCTGAGCCTGTCTGAGCTCCTGGGTCTCAATAAACATGGTGGCCTTCATTCTACCCCAGTCCTCGGGACCATTAAGGAGTCATGGCAAAGCTAGGGTAAGGTTGTGACCCAGGGTGGCCCAGTTCTATTGCCTGGCCAGCACACATAGCAGGTGCATGTGTGGTTGGTGGTCAGGGTCCTACCATAGTCACAGAGTGGCTTTGTGACTACTCTCTCCATGCTTCCACAACTCTTTTCATAAAAGAAAGAGCTTTAAGGTATGTCCTAATGGACTTTGCATCTCTGGATTTGCTTCATCCACTAAGCTGTAAACTCACCCCAAACATACCCCACACTCTGACAACAAATTCTATTGCAAAGATTAAAGCAAGCCACACACCAGAGTACAGTTAGGATTTTAATGCTGGGGTGATAACAGGTGTGGAGACCACCCAGGGAAGAAGAGTCTGAGAGGTTCCTTCAGGTGGGCTCAGGCAGACCTTGTGTGGATGATGGTTGCAATTTCTACAGAGAAATGCCACAGGGAGTCAGATGAAGCCACTGGGGCTAACCTAGAATGAGAACACAGGGCATTAGAACATTGGCAGTCACGGCAGTAGTGGAAGCTGGTTTTCATCAGACATTAAGTAGATCCGCAGGAGCCTGGCCTAAGTAGAACCACTCAATACTGAAGTGTTAGCATGGATTAGGCCATTGATAGGAGAGAGAAAGCTGTAGATTTGTGGTTTTCTTCTCCCACCTGGCCTTGATCCCTTCCTCTGGAGCAATGGCAAATGGGAAAGGATTGAGTAGAAGCCACGCCAACAAAACCAGGGTCCAGATGCAGGCCAAGGACAAATGTCTGCTCAAATTAAGGACTCAGTCAAAACTACCCAGTAAATTCATTTGGTAACAAAGACCCTGGCTCAGTCTGGGTTCACGATGCAGACTCAGGGATCAGGGTGTACTCAAAATCAGAGTTCAGCCTGGAGTCAGGATCGGGCCTCAGTTTCTCTGGTCTTGTGACAGAAGGACAAGCCTGGTCCCAGCTGCATTGACACAGTGCAGAGTCCACCGGTGGGGCTTGAAAGAGAACTGCAGGCTCCTGTGCTTGAATACGTGGTCCCCAGTTAGAGAAACCATTTAGGAAGTTTAGGAGGTTTGGCCTAGTTGGAGCAGGTGTGGTACTAGGGATGAGCATCAAGATCTCAAAAGGCCATGCCTTTCCTAGTTAGCTCACTCTCCCTGGTGATTGTGTCTCAGAACAGGAGCTCTCAGTGACTGCTCCAGTGCAAGGCCTGCCTACCTGCTGTCATGCTCCTCGCCATGATGGTCATGGGTTCTAGCCCCCTTGAGTTGTGAATCCCAAAATAAATGCTTTCTTTTATAATTTCCCTTGGTCGTGTTGTTTTGTCACAGCCATAGAAAAGCAACTAGGACACTATCCATACCAGCAGGGGTCGTGGCATTCCTTCTTCTGCCCCTTGCTCTTCAGAGGGGGACTGCTAACTGCCCTGTCAGTAGGCTAGCTGAAAGAACAAAGTCATGAGTAAAACCTCAGTATTTGCCCTGGGAAATTGAACCAAGGCCCACCCAACTCATTACCCCCCTCCTTCTCATCACTCGATCACTACTGTGACCTCAAGTATGTCACTTTCCACATGAAATTGGGTAATGACAGCACCTCACTGCAAAGACTCTCTTGGGGGTCCAATGAGGTAATGCTTGCAAGACACAGAAGGACTGTGTGAAGGAACATAACCAGAGATTGGTCACCTCCAAGGCCTGTAGGTTCCTGATTCCTGTTGCTCCAGCAACCCTGTCAATCATGAGGAGCTAAACCCTCAAGAGAGGCACCCCAATGAGGATTAGAGAAGTTAAAGGCTCAACTTGGTCAGGATGCAAAGTCCCTGGTGGGGGAACTCCCACATCTGCTGCCCTGGCCCATGGAAGGTACTCCAGTCCCCAAGCTGTGACTTACAGAGGAGGTCTTGAGCAATATTTATGTTCAGGCTGCTGAGGAGCCCCTGGAGCAGTGGACATACCTGAGAGCCAGGGAGGTGAAAAAATGAGAAGGGGAGGGAGAAGGAAGACAGATGAGACTTTGCTGGCAACACACTGCCCGCCCGCCCTCATCAGAGGGCCTCATTCCCAGGTCCAGAGTAAGTTAATTTTAGCAATCTGGAGCTGTGGAATTGTAGTGGCCTGAATCACGGCTGTCCTGGGCTGCCAAGAACCCACCACCTCAGCATGTCAGAAGTTCAAGATCTGAACATCTAGCATCCACAACCTTAACACCCAAGATGCCTGAACCTTGAACTCTTGAACCCTGGAAATGCAAGTTCCTTCAAATTTGGGGAGCCTAATTCACAGAATGCAGCTTCTCATTCACATGTCGTTAAACACATCATCCTAATCAAAGTGTGTTGCTTACAAGGAAACGTCAGCTTAAGGGCACAAGTGGAGCATGGATGTGGTAAACAGCTCAAGGCAGCATCTGTGATTCCTGCCTCCTCTCTCTGCAGCCCAGCTACTGAAGAGGAGGAGGTGATGGCCACAGACGTCCCAAAGAGAAATCTGCACCTCACAGGAAACAGTGTCCTGAGCACACAGCCACACAGATAACTCTCCTGCCCCCACCAGGCCTGGCTCTGGGTGACAAGAGCTCGGGACTTACTTGGTTTTGCAGCAGGCTTGTCACTGTGTTTGTAAGGAGGCCAGAAATACCATCCATCATCCTGTTGATAAGGGTGTTTCGTCTGGAAAAGAAGGGACTTGCAAAGCTTGGTCAAGAACTCAGCATGGTTGAGAGTCCTCAGAAGGTCAAGTGGCACACAACTCTGCTCTGTGATCTCATTTTTGGTTGCATCTGAGCATCTTAAGCCTAAGTAGCTGCTTCCTCAAGGTCTGGGTGCTCATCACAGCCCTGACCTAGCATCATTTACTCAACCTCTACTTACACAGCAAAAGCTGAGCCCTGGGGCACTGGGCAATAATCTCCCTCATAAACAAGTGTCACTGAGGTTGTGTCCTCTCCTCTTCATCTCTCATCCAGCTGTTATCTCCTGAGGTTGCCATGTTAATATTTTCTAAGGCATGAGGCACATTGACCCAGTTGAAAGGTACCATAAGCAAATGCATGGTTTTGTCTGGAGAGGCCATCCTCCTGCCTCAGCAAATGAACAGTCCATAGAGTCAGTGTAGATCTCATGGCTCTTGGCACTTAGCATGTTCTAGGCTTTCAGCTGAACATGTGTATTTTCTCATGTCTTCATCCTAGAAGCTGATGAGTACAGCATTCTATTGTTTTAATGCACAGATGTGCAAACCGAGGCCTCAACAGATGAAGCTGCAGAGAGACAGAACTGATAGCTGTGACAGAGTTGATGTTTGAGGCTAGTCTGTGTACTCTATGATGCTGCTTCCAGGCTTAAGAACAGGATTAAAGTCAGGGGTCCTGAAGCCTCTCTGAGAGCCCAACTCTGCAGGGATGGGTGAGCCTTACCTTCCCAATAAAGAAATGGAGATTTTGTCTGAATCACTCGAGCATTTCCCTATGGTCAGGGTGGGAAGGCCAGTCGTGGCATCGGTTTGAATAGCCAGGGAAGTTATGAGATCCAAGGAAATAGCAACATCAGCCGTGGAGCCAATAAGAGGCCTGAAGAAAAAAGAGTCACACCAGGCACAGATCTAGAAGGCTTTGTAGGTTGCACTGGTTCTCATCTATGTGTGTAGACACAGTTCAGTCTATGGGCAATGTCTACATTGTCTGGATAATGATGTTGCATATACTCTACAAACTTTACATGTTTAAATTGGACTTCTATGAGCAAGATTCTATCACATGCAAGATTTTTACTTGGCATGAGACTAATAATAAAAATTAATTGTGTAACATAAATTACCTGTGGGCATTAATTTAAAGTATTGTTCCTGGTATAATCCATTTAATCATTATAATGGTGCTAGGAGATAAATCTCTCTCTTGTATTTTGAGCATGAAATTCTGCTCAAAGAGATGTTAAGTAACCACCACAGGATATCACAGCTTGTGGCTTCACAAGTTTATCAAATACAAACACCGTCTCCCCCAGTATTGATGATTTAGGCCAGAGACTCACATACTGGACAAATGCTTTCCATGAAGGATACCCCCAATCTCTAGAGATTCATTTGCAAAAGCTCTTGACTTGGTCATTTTTCCGTGTCTCTCCTTTTAAATCGAAAAGCTTTAAAATTGTGTTTTACTTATCCAGGAAGCCTAGCCCACATCTACAAGTTTCAATTACTATTAGAGACTCCATTGCAAAAATTAATCTGGTATAATCACTACATTGAGACAGATTCATGATATTGACCTCTGAATTCCACAAACGCAAGTGAGTGCACACATAAAAGTTTGTACACCCAAGTGCACATAACTGCAACACACACAGGCGTATTGTATATGACATTCATTTTAAAGGGGCTTAACATGGCATGTTTTCACTGGATTTTAGGCCTCAGAGGGTCCCATTTTTTACAGATTAATTTTACAAAGGTCAAAGACTAGCTGGGAACTAAATGCTTACTCAAATCAGCCAAATTGCACTCCACTCCCTAAACCAAGTGACACATACTCACAGAGTCACAGAGGCATCCACAACCAGGGGCAGCTTCAGATCAATGCCTTTGCCATCAGAAGACAAGCCAACTTGCAAGTCCAGGATGCTGAGTTTGTTGATTTGCAACCTGCCCAAAATCCGTAAGTGCCCTCTTGTTATTCATCCTTGTAGCATTATGCACCTCTGTTCATCACCCTCTTGTTCTCACTATGTCCTCTTCTGCAAGGTGAACCTCTACAGTCTCAAATGTAATAGACTAAGCAGAGGAAACAATAGGCAACAGAGACAAAACTAAAAACTTGGTGACACCAGTGCTTAGAACTAAAGGGTGTGGGTTCCAGCTTCTAGTCCCTTAAAGGAACTTGGAATTTTACTCCCAGCTATGTATTAAAAACATTGTCATTCTTAGAGAATGGCTTTAGGTACCAGGATACAAGTGAATACAAGTCACCTTCAGCCAGAAATTACAGAATGTGGAAAAGCAGATACATGAACTGTCCAAACAGCCCCTGTAGCCCTGTGTCAGACTTACTCAAGCTCTAATGAGCCTTGACTCAGAGCTCCTTAGCTCTGTGGGGGAAGACAAGCCTAATTCAATTTGTCTTTGACACTGGGTAGTTCCTTTTCTGGGAGCAAAGATGTATCAACTCACCCTAAACCTTTCTGAGATGATAAGAGGTTTAATTTGCCAACGTCCAGTGTGTTCAAAATTCCTAAGATGTTGTTCTTGGCTAATGGCCAATCCTTAGTTTCCTGAAGCGAACTCACATCCAGATTTGGTTTCGGAAGGGCATCTGTCAAAAACAGTCATCAAACAGTGCTTGCATCACTAGAAATTGAGCTCCCGCCCTTTTGGTCTCAGAGAAGTCAGATTCCCTGCACTGTTTCATTCAGTCTCTGCAACAACTCGGTGAGAGTGGGATTGCTGAGGAACCTGAGACTGCTAAGGTCAGGAAAGGTGTCCACACAGCTGGGTCCATACACTGTTTCCAGGATGACCTTGCGTTTACCAACTAAAGAATTGACCAACTGGCCAAGCAATTGAAGAGTTGATTGTGTATACTTGCTTTTAGGGATAACTTGAGGATCTGTTCCTCTTCATGGGATTCTCATGTGAGTTTGAGAAACTTAGTTAAGCAATTGAGAGAATAAACTAATAAATGGAATAACCTAGAACCAAGGAAAATTTATAGAGGGAAAATATTGCTCTAGTCAGTGAAAGCAGCAAATGGGGGGGGGTTCTCAAAATGATAGCTTGGAATCAGTACTAGAGAAAATAAATTGACATTGGAAGAAGAGAGTAGAGTGTCTTAACAGAAGATCTCAGAGAACAACTGGGGAATTAATAGAATAAATGCCACATGCCAGAAGGTATGTGTGAAGTGTTAGGGACTTTTGTATATAAAATATCTCTACTATGAAACAAAGCAATTACTTACTCAGGGACAAACAACATGAAACAACAACAATAATCCCTTATTTTCAAAAGTATACATGGCTTAAAATGCTGCCTTAAAATATTTATTGTAACACAATTTTCCTGCTAACTCCTCCACATTTTTTATTGTTCCATTTCTTTGGGTGTAAAGCAGTTTATATTAGAATCATGATATCACAAATGATTTGTCCCATTTGTACAGTGATGTTTTAGTTCCTCATCCAGCTTTAGCTGCTGAAATCATACAGCTATGAAGAGAAGCCTTTGTTTCTGTAGACTGCTTTTCTGTTGTGTATTGAGTATCTTTAAGTAATACTGAAAGGTTTGTTCCTTTGAGGCTGTTTGTAGTGTACGTGTGTGTATGTGTGTGTGTGTGTGTGTGTGTGTGTGTGTGTGTGTGTGTGTGTATGTGTACTTGAATTGTTTTGTTTAAGAAAAGCATTCATTTTTGTTGTGAGCCTAGCCTTTAATGGCTGAGCTATTGCTCCATGTGGAGAAAGGGGAACACTCCTCCATTGCTGGTGGGAATGTGAACTTGTACAGCAACTTTGGAAATCAGTATGGCAGTTCCTCAGGAAAATGAGAATCAGTCTACCACAAGATCCAGCAATTCCACTCTTAGGCATATACACAAAGGACACACATTCATAGGACAAGGACGTCTGTTCAACAATGTTCATGGCAGCATTGTTTGTAATAGCCAGAACGTGGAAGCAACCTATGTGCCCCTTTATTGAAGAATGGATAAAGAAAATGTGGTACATTTACACAATGGAGTACTACTCAGTAAGGGGGGGGCAATGAAATCTTGAAATTCACAGGCAAATGGATGGAACTAGATGAAACCATCCTGAGTGAGATAACCCAGACACAGAAAGAAAAAAAAAACATGGTATGTACTCACTTATAAGTGAATAGTAGACATACAGCAAAGGATAACCACTCTATAATCCACAACCCCAGGGAAGCTAAGAAACAAGGAGAACCCAAAGAGAGACATACATGGACCCCAAGAAGGGAAAAGGGACAAGATCTCCTAAGTAAATTTAGAGCATGGGGGAGGGTGGAGTAGGAGAAAGAGGAGTGGAGAACGGGAGGGGGGAGGAGAACATGAGGAATCAGGAAGGTCGAGTTGGGGGAAGAACAAGAAGGAGAGCAAGGAAAGAGATACCTTAATAGAGGAGGTCATTATGGGCTTAACAAGAAATCTGGCACTAGGGAAATATACAGGGATCCACAAGGATGACCCCAACTAAGAATCTAAGTACTACTATATGACGCCACTGGCAGTGGGTCCAAGATCTAACATGCACAGACTGACTTAGTGGAGCCCATTCTACATGGAAAGACACCTTACCCAGCCTACATACAAGGGTGCGGGGGTAGTGAGACACCTCGGTCCTGCCTTAAGGAGAAGATGGGACAAACTTAGTAGACTTCCTAGGGGAGACCTGACCCTCTCCATGGAGTAGATGGGAGGAGGAGGAAGTTGGGGAGAGCAAGAGGAGGGGGGGGGTAACTGGAATTGGAATGTAAAAAATAAGTTAACAAAAATTGACAGGAAAAAGGGAATCTAAGCAATAGTGGAGGGGCTACCTTAAATGCCCATTCCTTATAATGAGATTGATGACTACCTTAAATAGCATCACAGAGCCTGCATCCAGTAGCTAATGGAAGCAGAAACAGAGATTCAAAGCTAAGCACTGAGCTGAACTGGAATCCAGTTGTAGAGAGGGAAGAGTGATGAGCAAAAGGGTCAAGACCAACCTGGGGAAATCCACAGAGACAGCTGACCTGAGCAAGTGGAAGTTCACAGACCCCAGTCTGACAGCTGTGGAACCAGAATAAGACCAAAGCAGGTCCCCTGAATGTGGGTGTCAGTTGGGGGTCTGGGAAGTCTATAGGGCCTCTAGCAATGGAACTAGTATTTATCCCTAGTGCACAAATGGGCTTTGGGAGCTCATTCCCTATGGAGGGATACTCTCTCTGCCTAGACACAGGGGCGAGGGCTTTGGTCCTGCCCCAAATGATGATCTCCCATGGGGATCCCCCACGGGAGGCCTCACCCTCTCTGATAAGTGGAGGGGGATAGGATGGAGGGTTGGTGGGGGAAATGGAAGGGCGGGAGGGGGAGGGAACTGAGATTGGTATGTAAAATAAGATCATTATTAACTTAAATAAAAATTATTTTTTTAAAAAGCACTCATGTATGACCATATACTATCTGTATTCTCAATGCAGTTGTGATACTGGAGAGATGGCTCAGCAGTTAAGAATGCTTGATGCTCTTACAGAAGACTTGAGTTCAGTTCTCAACACCCATGTTTGATGACTGAAAACCATGTGTTCCTCATGGGGATCTGACACCCTTTTCTGGCTTCTGGGGGCATACACACAGATATATAAACAAAGACACATGCATACAAATGAAAAAAATTTAAAAACAGTTTTAATCAAATGGATATACTCACAATATTGCAACTTGGCTCTGTGTGTACAGGATCTAACTGTTATAATGATGCAGACAAGACCTCTTCAGTTGGCATTGCTTGCATAACTCTGTCTCACCACACAACCACCTAAGCAACTTTGAACCTGACACAGTTTTCTCACTGTTGTGGATCCCCACCTGGAAAATGAGAGGAAGGATCCTTTCCTCATCTTTGAGAGTTGCCTAAACATTGACAAGGATTGAAGGCAGCTTGTGCAGAGCTTTCCTGTTCCTATAATACCTTTTTGTCAGTTGGCCCAAGTATACAGCAGAAAACAGAGGTACAATTAACAGAAAGTTGGGTGGTTTAAACATCCAAACAAGGTGGGTTGTTGCCCTTCATTTCCAGCTAATCATCACAGACCAATAATGGCCAAGATCAAAAATACTAATGACAGCCTACGTTGGAGAGGATGTGAAGTAAGGGGAATACTCCTCCACTCTGATAGGAGTGCAAACTTGTACAGCCGCTTTGAAAATCAGTATAGCAGTCTCTCAGAAAATTAGGAACCAAACTACTTAGAGACCAAGCATAACCACTCTTAGTCATATAGCCAAAGGATGCTCAATCATACCACAAGGACACTTGCTCAACTATGTTCATAGCAGTAGTATTCATAATAGCCAGAACCTGAAAACAACCCAGATGTCCCTAACTGAAGAACGGATAAAGAATATGTGTTATATCTACACAATGGAGTATTACTCTGCTGAAAAAAAAAAATGACATCATAAAATTTGCAAGCAAAAGGATGGAACTAGAGAAAAATCCCGAGTGAGGCAACCCAGACCCAGAAAGACAAACACAGTATGCACTCACTCACTAGTGGATATTAGATGTAAAGCCAAGAACACCCAGACTACCATTCTTGGTCCCTGAGAAGCTAGATAATGAGAAGGACCCTAAGAGAGATGCATGGATCTCTCTAGGAAGAGGAAATAGATGAAATGTTCTGAGTAAACTAGGGGCAGGGGGAGTAGAAGGGAGGGAATGAGGGATGGGAACATTAGGGACCAAGATGATCCAGTTGGGGAGAGAACAGAGGAGAGTCTTGATAGAGTTATATTGATTGGGGGCTATTATGGGGTTAGGTAGGAACCTGGTGCCAGGGAAACTCCCAGGAATCCACAAGGATGACCCCAGCTAAGACTCCTAGCAATAAGGGGAAGGTGCCTGAACTGGTCTTCTCCTGTAATCAGATTAGTGACTATCCTAATTGAAATCATAGAGACTTCATCCAGTACCTGATTGAAGCACATGCAGAGGTCCACAGCTAAGCACTGGGCTGAGCTCCTGGCGTCCAGTTGAAGAGAGGATGGAGGGATTATATAAGCAAGGGGGGGGATCAAGATCATGACATGGAAACCTACAGATACAGTTGACCTGAGCTCATGGGAGCTCACAGACTCTGGACAGATCCCATCTGAGGAGGAGGTTATAGATAGAAGGGTATAAGGGATGTGGGGGGAGGGAATGGGAGCAGAGGAGGAAGGGGAGACTGTGGTTGATACATAAAATAAATTAAAAATGAATTTTAAAAAGGGCAAACTATCTATTAGCATATATGGAAATATATGTTAATAATTTTGCCACAACAATTTAAATTATGTAAACAGTAGTAAATATACAAAAAATGAGAGGATGGTTAGGATTAGAGAAATGCAAAATGAGACAAGTTACATCTGCTCATCTCTGATGATAGCAAATCAGATAACGCTGCCCATGTCAGTGCTTAAAAGAAAGCAGGGTTGGGGACAGGCTCCTACAAACTTCTAGAGGAAGTAAGATAGCTACTATTAGGATACAATGTCATGGCATTGTTTGTTTCTAAAATGATAAGTAAGTGAGGTAGGAATTGAAAGGCTGTTCATTTCTCAATAAGCCACCCATAAAGGACAGCGCTGCCCCCTCTCAGCAGCCTCTGCTATTTATTAGGGTTACTCTTAGGACCAGCAGACAGGTGGAACCTATATTGACTCACCTCCAGTGGCAGAATTCAGAACGTTCACATTATTCAGGGCACTGCCAATATTACCCAAAAGTGATTCTGAGGTCCCAATGAGCAGGCCACACAAGACAACGAGGCTCCCAAGTTGGAACATCTTTGGTCCTGACACCTGGATGGCCATAGGAGGAAGAAGAGGAAACAAGAACCCACAGTGAATACCTGTCACTCTCACATTTAGCATTTCTTTAAAACAGACATGCTGTTGTTCAAGATAGGTGAGAAAATGAATCAGCAAAGATGCCCACTCACAGGAATGGATAAAGAAAGGGAAGCCAGGTACACAATGGAATTTTATTCTGTCATAAAAATGAAATCTTGACATTTCAGGTAATGGATGGAACTGAAGTTTTTGTGCCTAGCAAAATTTGCCAAATTCAGAAAGGTAAAATACCCTGCCATGTGCAAATCTTTGTGTGTGTGTGTGTGTGTGTGTGTGTGTGTGTGTATGTTTGAATGTGTTGAATATGTGTGAGCTCATAAATAAGGATACCATGAGAGGGGAAGAAGAAATCTTAAGGGAAGGGAAGAAGGCAAAAAAGAAAGCAGCAAATGCAGAGGACATGAAAGTAGAAGGAAGGAGGAAGCCGTTAGCAAGGGGTGGGGATGAGGAAGGATAGCAGGAAAGGAAAGGGATAGGAACTGAGTATATAGAAAAATGCCGCAGCAAATCTACTAGTTTTATGGTGAATTTAAAAATCATAAACATAAATAAATATAATTATAACTTAATAAAATGAGCAAACCAGTGGGGAAGGTAGAAAAACTTCAGAGACACAGTCAGGGCGTAGAGGGAAAGGGCTTGGTAAGCCAATCAACTCCAACCTATGCTCTCTATTCTCAGGTCCTTTGTGCTTGCTGCCTTCTCTGATTGAAACTTATTTCCTCTTCTCTTTGCAACCTAAATCTGTTTTGTGACTTCAGTGAAACTTCACACCTTCCCTGAAGCCAACTCCAGGTCCCTCCCCAGAGACCAGATCAAGACTCCCACTACCTGAATCCACCAAGCTTGGAGCAATGCTGTCCTTAAAGAGGTAGCTGTGGCTTGTGTCATTGTTGAGCCTAGACTCCAGTAAGAAGCCTTTCTCCATACACCGAGACAAGTCATTGATGAATAAAGTCTGAGCAGTCAGCAGAACCATGTGAACCTAGGTTGTTATTAGTCTGACACAATATCTTCTATGTCTTCAAATTTGTTAGAGTCCAAACTTCCCTAAGACAAACAGCGCCTTCCCTCTGCCTCTCGTCCCTAACCCTCCTGAAGACCCTTGTATGGAGGACCATGTTATGGGAGTTCACACTCACCAGCTGGAGAAGGATGCACAGGAAATGCTTCTCTCTCTGCTCGGTCTTCAGAGATGCTGGGGGTGACAGTGACCCTTATATTCTGATGACAGGATGAGATGCAAGCCCTGTTTCCAGGATGTTCCAAGGAGATTCCAAAGAAAATACCTAAGGTTAGCCAAGTTATTCCTACACAAAGGTCACCCAGGATGCTTGAGTGGCAGTGATGGACTTCATGCCAAGACTAAGGCCCCAACTTGTTGAATCTGAGATTTCCAATGAGGGGTTGATTCAGTAAGTGCTCAGAAGAAGTCCCAGAATGGATCAATGGAATAATATTCTGTTAGGAAAGCTCCTAGTGTTTGCCAAGGCTATTCTAGTCATCATTTGAGAACTCATAGAAGCAAAGCCACCAATGAGCAGGGTAGAACTGTGACTACTCTCAAGTTGTGCTGCCCATTGCCTAGAACTCTTTCTCTGTCTGAGTGTTCCAGTCGTCTCCCACGGACAGAGTTAGCTACTGATGGTTTCTGTTAAAGGACAATAATGAAGCATCTGTGTTATAAACTAACTGCCTGTATGATTTTGTTTAATCTACCCCCAAGGTGATTATTTCTCAGAGTAGAAAATCCCAGCAACAGTAAATTAAAAAGAGGAAAATAATTGGGTTCACAGCCATAGAGGTGTTTCTTCTTTAAGGAGTCAGCAAGGCTGGTTGCATGATTCACATCCTTCCTACCTTGTTAGCCTCCATGTTTATAGTGTGGCTGTGCTGTGTGACCCATTTATTGCCATTGGGCAGGAGGCAAATGATGTGTGTGTGCAAGCCAGGATGTTTGTGGGCTGAAGGGGAGGAATCCAGCTTCCCTGGTTTAAGAGAATAAAGCAAAGAAGGTAGGAAGAACTACTATTTGAGGTGAAAACTCACAAAGTATCTGGCTTTGGGCATTGCTTGATCCAGGTCCTCAAATGATTCCATGCTCTTAATATTGGATTCATTCTCTGGTAGACCTTGCCAGATAAATGTAACTGAAAAATTGGTGGATGAAAAGAGACAAGGGGTGTGTGGAGACCCACCTCCTATGGGGACAGAAATGTGGCTTATTCCCATGGCTGGGAGCTAAAGCAATGCTATGATAAAGACTCCATCTCATAAGCTGATAGTGTATGTTTTATTCATGCTGGCCCGTGTCTCTTCTTGAGTCAATGAGATGGGTCCATGGCAAAGACGCTTGCTTTACAGGCCTAATGACTCATGTTTGCTCACCAGAGCCCACAGAATGGTGGAAGGAAGACACAACTCCTGATAGTTATTCTTTGACCTCAACAGGTGCACGGTCACATGTGTACCTTCACTCACATATGAGGATCATACACACACAAACACAAAACAATAAAAATAAAGATTAAAAAATAACTGATGTTTCTTGGGACAGGTACGTTGTGGTCTGACTAAAGTTTGTATCTGGCCTCCCCAGGATGTCAGGAATAGAAACATTTGAACAAGAGGACTCACTGGTGACCTCCATCTCACAGTTGGTGAGCTCACCCTACGCCCCCAAACTCTACTTCCAAACACTTTGCACAACTCTTTACAGTGTGGACTGCAGAAGTACACGCTTCTATAAGCAGACAATTGGTAATGACCTCTGTCCTTTATTTGCCACCAGGAGCTGTCTTGCTTCATCTAGTTCTACCTCCCAGTGACCTTGAAGGAGGTCCAGATAAGAAGGGGCTTTCTGAGATGAGAAGACAGGGTCTGTGCCCACCCATCCCCCCCCAAAAAAAACACACAGGAGCAGCTGTTCCAACATGCAGCCTGTTGGGGCAGCAGTGAGCAGTACACGTCCACTCTGATGGTATCTGCAGATATTTGCCTGCTGTCTGGCCTTCAGGTTAGATACACTTCTTTATTGAACCTGCTAGTCATCAGAAGGCAGGTTTGAGGGCCTCGTTTTCCAGTGGAAGAAACGAGTTTCTGAGAGGCCCACAGGTGTCAAGGTCACACAGGATTAAAATCCAGTGCCTGGGTCCCTCCACCTACATCAGGATGCAGCCAGTTGGCAGGGCAGGACTATCCCTAGGCTTGTACATCCTGGTTTCCACAGGGTACATTGTTAGAATTAGTCACCAAGCCCTGGGCCCATGCTAAGTCAGAATAGCAAAGAAACCAGTGGGAGCTGGGCTTTGAGCTAGGAGACAGCATAGAACCAGGCCACTACAACTTAGTAAGCCCAGAGGACTTGTCCTCAACATGAGGACCATAGCAAAGGATATTATGACCTTGTCATTCTGATAGTTTAAGTACCCAGATTCTTGCTGTGGCCTTGCCATGGCTTGGTTCCATATGCAAAACTTCCTAGATGCCTGTATCATGTTTCAAAAACTGATGAAAACCCTGTTCCCATCTATGGACAAAGAGTCAAGGGCCGCACTGAAATCTTGTTAAGATTCACCAGCTTAGAATTGGCATAAAAACAGACATATGAATCAATGCAACCAAATTTAAGACTCTGACATTAATCCACACACCCATGGACACCTGATTGTTGACAAAGAAGCCAAAATTGTACAATATAAAAAAGAAAGCATCTTCAACAAATGGTGCTGGCATAACTGGATATTGACAAGTAGAAGAATGCAAATAGATCCATCTCTATCACCATGTGCAAAACTCAAGTCCAAATGGATCAAAGACCTCAACATAAATCCAGTTACACTGAACCTCATAGAAGAGAAAGTGAGAAGTAGCCTTGAGTGCATTGGCATGGGAGACCAATTCCTAAATATAGCACAGACACTGAAAGCAACAATTAATAAATGGGACCTCCTGAAACTGAAAAGGGCCTATAAGACAAAGGACACAGTCAATAAGACAAAGCCTCAGCTAAATAATGGGAAAATATCTTAACCAACTCTCACATCTGACAGAGGACTGATACCCAAAACATATAAAGAAGTAAAAAAACTAGACATCAAAATACCAAATAATCCAATTAAAAGTTGGATACAAATCTAAACAAAGAATTTTCAACAGAAGAATCTCAAATGCCAGAAAGACATTTAAGGAAATGCTCAACTTCCTTAGCCATCAGAGAAATGCAAATCAAAATAACACTGAGCTACCATCTTACACCTGACATAATAGCTAAGATCATAAACACAGATGACAGCCTATGTTGGAGAGAATGTGGAAAAAGGGTAACACTCCTCCATTGCTGGTGGGAGTGCAAACTTGTACAGCCCCTTTGGAAATCAGTATGGCTGTTTCACAGAAAATTAGGAATCAACCTACTTCAAGACACAGCAATACCACTATTGGACAGATACCCAAAAGATGTTCAATCATTTCACAAGTACACTTGACCAACTATGTTCATAGCAGCATTATTCATGATGGTCAGAACCTGGAAACAACCTAGATGTCCCTCAACTGAAGAATGGATAAAGAAAATGTGATACAGTTACATAATCAAGTATTACTCCGCAGTAAAGAAAAAAATGACATCAAGAAACTTGTAGACAAATAGATGGAAATCGATGGAACTAGAAAAAAATCGTCCTGAGTCCTGAGGGAGGTAAACCAGACCTAGAAAGACAAACACAGTATGTACTCACCCATAAATAGATATTAGATGCAAAGCAAAGGATACCCAGTCTACAACCTACAACCCCAGAGAAGCTAGGTAAAAAGGGGGACCCTAAGAAGTACATGCATGGAGGATCCCAGGAAGTGAAAATAGTTAAGAGCTCCTGAGTAAACTGGGAGGGGGATAGAAGGAAGGATATGAGGATGGGAACATGAAGGATAGA